GTTAATTGTTGATAGACATTATACTTTAACATATTTAATATACTCTCCTGCCAGCTGGATAACAACAAACATCATTTTATGCTCTAGACAAACACAGAAGTAGCAGATACTCCCCTGCTCAGCTCACTCCTGACTCAGACTACCTGAGATTCTCCCATTATCTTCTGTAGGAATAAGTCTAGGCCTAGCCTGCGAGGAACTGATCAGAAAACTGGACAAAGCTAAAAGAAAGAAAGAAGCATATCAAGATAAACTGCAATTCAGATCAGTTCTACAAATGTTGGGCTAGAATAATGGAGAAAGGTACATTAAGTTAAAAACAAACAAGCAACTTCAAAACTGCTTACTTTGGCAAAATGGTTTATGCTAGTTTAACGCATTTCTAGAAATACAGTATTCATTTTGTTTGATCATTTCCTCTTACATCTTTTACTGTTTGTGCTACTTAACTCACACAACCTCTTCCCATACCACCGGAAATATTTGTGCTTTTTTTTCTAAATTGTTTAAGGCTTTCTTTTACCAACCTTCACCTTGTGTTTTTTGTTGGTTTTTTTTCTCTCTCTTCAAGGAAAAATAAATTAAATTGAATAGGTATCCATGTCATTTTCTTCCTTCTACCTGAGATTTCTAGATTGCCCTTCAATATGTAAATATTGAAGGCAAAGCTGTCAGTCTACCATTTCTAATTAACACAAACAAGCAAAAAACTCCTATGTGGTATTTCTACATACCTGTGGTTTCAGCAGGTCTTAAGTTGGCTAGAGCAACAATCTGATGCCCAGCAGCAACACACTGCATCATATTATAACAGCTGTCCTTCCCACCACTGTAAAACAGAAAATAGTGGCAATTAAGTGAAAATACTGCAAAAAACTCTAGCTCTCTCCGGGACTACTTTAGCCCTCCTGTCTCGCTCTCAACATTATCAGAGCAGGTTACTAAGTATTTGAATAAGAGGAGGTTGCAAAATGTTAGTAGGAACTGAAGGATGATTTTGCCATAGCAAAGCTGAAACAATGTTTCCTATTTATACACAGTAGCCAAAAAAACAGGTATCCAGTTCTAATCTTTTATCTCGTTTCTCATCAGAGAGCTTACATGAAGAACAGCCGTTTCAACTGGAATCCCTTCAGAACAAGAACCATCTTTTACTCCAGGGATCAATTATTCTGTACCCATTATTAAGTAACATGGAAACAAACAAACAAAACTCCCAGTATCCAGAGATACAACTCCAGAGATACAGCAAAACTCCAGAGAACAACCAGATTTAGCTGTCCTTTTAGATGAAAACTACGGCAATAACTTTCATGCTTAATGGGATATGTTGTCCAAAGTTTCAATACTTTAAATGTACTTCCCATTGTCAGAAGTTCTAATTGTTGCAGGCAGTAGGTGCAGTTTGCTCTGCATGAAACATGCCACTTTTTACTACAGATAATTGCAGATAACAAAAATTACAGCTGGTTAAATAAAAGCTGGAATAACAAGTGGAAAAACATTCCCCTCTGAGGCCAAGAGACGGTACTGCAAAAACATGGAACATGATTAGTTTTGACTTAAAACCTAATGAAACTTTTTTCACTACCAGTGAGAAAAGAACCCTGCTTTCTCACATGGATTTTAATCCCTGTCAAAAGAAGCACTACAATCTAACAACAAAACTAAAACTGGTGCAGATACAAAGACTTCAACATCCCATGCTCAGATTTACACCCTTCAAACTACAACTGCAAACACCAGCCCAGGACAGGAGTCACAATACCTCTGTGAAACTGCTTCCTGCCTCGTGGTCCCTGGGACCAGAACAGAAGAGCAGACAGCAATTTGAAGCATTCCTTGCTGCAACTGGCCACCACCATTTCCCCGCTGTTAGGAGCAAAATCCTTCAGCATCTCTAACAGGAAGCTCCCGCTTTTATCTCTCTGTCATGCAAGAGCTTGAAATGTATTACAGTAATACAATCATACAGCTATTCCCCTCAATTTAGGCTTCTATCCATGGTAAAAATCTGCATGCTGACCCTAACTTTCTGTGTAACTCAAACCTCAAGAAGAAGTTGTATAAACAATATGGAATCCTTTTGTACTTTACAGACTGTCATAAAGCAGGTGCTTATGTTTCAGTGTTATAAATATGATAAACAGATTTCTAATTTTAGGGTCCATCTGTACCTAACATTATTCTCAACCATTCCTACAACATTCTTCTGATCTATATATGGATAAAAGAACATTAAAAGATGTATTCATTAATTCTGAATACTGTGCTTGATAGCTTGAAAATGTAGTTAGCATTCACTTCATAAAGTGAAATTTCAGGCTAAACCGTCTCATAATAAGACAAAGGCTCTTTTATTTCTGAATGATTCCATTCTAAAAAGTAAAAGCCTACTACTGGCACTGATTTCTACTCCAAAATACAACTTAAGCCAAGTAATGACAGTCGATATTTTTGCCTTTGCCATTCACAGAGTTTCAATATTAACATTTCTAATTAAAATTAAGAAGGACGCCAGAATAAATTTATTAATCTTTTAATACAATTCATTTTAATATTTCATTAACATGAATTGTATTAAATGTTATCATTTTAAGATGAGGCTACATTCAGATTTCCCACATTTATTGAAGATTTGTAGAGTGCTTGCTGTATCACATGGTATTATACTCCTATTTATTTTCTGTATTATGGTTATCATGGCCCTAAAAAATAACTATGCCAAAGAAGCAGAAGGAAATGTTACCTACATAAAAGGCCTTCTAGTCTAGCAGTAAAACACAAGACAGCTAGGTCCAATGAGGCCAATACTGGAAGCCAATACTGGAAGAGGAAGGTGGACTCAGCACAGTTCCAGCCCAGCTTGTGACAGGAAAAAAAAAAAATAAAAATAAAAAAATAAAAAAATCCAAGAGAGATTAAAGCATAAGTTTTTGAAGGACACTGAATGATGCTGGCCACACCCAGGCTTAGGTTTAACAGTGCTCCAGGTCCATTAACAGGTAGGACTATAAACTAACAAAATACCAGAAGAAAAAATAAGGTAAATCATAAAGGCACAGATCCATAAAAGACTTCTAGGAAAAAAAAAAAATCCTTCTATCAACAAATGTAACCATTTACACTAAGAAAATTCCGCAAGAATTAAAGAATTGAAAAAAAAATATCATACTTCAGTTAGAAGACTGGCTTTAAAATGTCTATGATTTAGCACAAAACACAATACAGGGCTTAGCCCATAAATATCACCTTAGTGCAAGACTATCAACTTTAAGTGTGGCCAACATTTTAGAACAAAAAGAAACAGGCTAAAGTAGTTCTATACATAATCCTGACCTTTTCAAAAGTAAGAAGCACTTTTCAAATACTTTTTCTCCCTCTGATCTTTGAGGCTAGCTCTGTTACAAAGATTTTAGACACTTTGATGTCTCTTTAAAATTCTTCTTAAAACTATTACTGAAACTAAATACATCCTTGTAAATTGCCCATAAAAATAGCAATTGTGTTACAAACCTGTTTTAGGATTTTATTTCATCCTGCCATTTAACACATTCCTCTCTTTAGAGAATACCAAAATAAATAAACCTGGGAGACAGAAACTTATCTCTAAAACATGAAAAATCACTGAAGTTGATTCTCCCTGTCATTATTTAAGCAGATCTTGAGAAGCACAGATACCATTTGGTGTTCCATTTTTTCCTCTTTGGGTAGTATTTCAATGATTTGTAATTGTTGTGGCCAAATAACAACTTCAGAGGGGTCTGACATCAGACATTGCCTGAGAGAATTCAACACATTAAATATTAGAACTTTGGTAAAGTTAATGCACCCAAAAATAAAAACACACTGCTTGCATCCTATATAAGCAGTTCCCACGTATAGGTTCCATAGCTTGCTGTCTTCCAATTGTTATTTTTCAAGAAAACAATTAGACTGCTAGAAAAGCAAAATAACACTCATCTCTTTTTGAAACTACAAAAAAATATATATATATATATTATTTACAGTACAACAACCATGGAAACGGACAAAAGCAGCAGGACGACATGAGAAGCAAATAAAACACCTCACAGATAGGGCTGAGCCAAACCATAGCTACTTTAAGGGGGAACTCCCGTCTTTTTTTTAAACGAGCAAAACGAAATGCCCCTTGGAAGGCACGCTAGGAAGTCTACCGTGAGAGATCATAAAGTATTTGGACGGGAAACAAAAAATAACCTTGAAAATTGAACTAAAAGTGAGCAGAACTGCCCTAACTGCATGGTCTTGGCAAAGGCCCCACTCACGAAACAGGAGCTGACCGAGATAAGGGGCGGGCAGCAATCAGCGGAAGGGTCTTGAACTATATTTTTCTTTTCTTTTCTTTTACAGACCGGTAATGTTCGCAGTTCCCGACAGCACGGCATTAGCAGCGCGGCAGCCTTGGCCAGCACGTGGTTGGGGGGGGGGGGCGGGGGGGAAAGGCTCTGCTCACCCTGCCCTGCCGGACCCTCCCATCCGCCGGGCAGGGGCGCGGGGCGGCTCGGGGGAACGCTCGGGCGGCGCTGGTGGCACCACGCCCCGCAGTCTCTCCCCCGCAGCGCCTTGCTCTGCCGCCAGCATCTCGCTGGCCGTTACCTGATCAGAGCCACTACTCGCATGCTGCACACTGCCCCGGGGCGGTAACACTGAACAGGAGACGTGCGATGAGTGCGCAGCCCAAGCTCTCCACCACCCCGGGCCACGCACGCCGCCGCTACCGCCCGGCAGCGTCCCCGCGGCAGGCCCTCCTCCCAGGGCAGCCCGGCCGATTGCCTGAGCGAGAGGGAGGTGTTCCGGGCCGCCGCCAGGCCTTGCCCGGGAGGACGACTTCTCACGCGTCCGGGAGAGAGTTCTGGGGACGCGGCTGCCAGGGCCGGCCCGAAGGGGAGCTCGGCAGTGGGAGGCGCCGGGGAAGGCAGCGCGCGGGGCGCCTACGTGCGGGCGGGCGGCCTACTGCCGGTAGGCCCGGGCGGGCCGCTTGTTCCGTGCACAGCGGACGCAACTGCTAGGTCCACCCAGCTCTTGTGCTTCGTTATGGTGCGGGAGGACCGGGTGCGGTGGAAGGAAATTGTGCGGGACTTCAGAGTTCGTCACCCCGAGGCGACTCACGGCGGGGCCGGGTAGAGCTGCGTGCTCTACCGTTATGAGTTATGGGGAGACCCTTTCCTGTCACCGCGGTGCCGTGAGGATCTGTGCGGGCAGGAGGAGAAGAACTGCCTGTTGCAGGCGCACGTGGGAAATGTCCACCTGCAGCGCTGAGCTCAGCTTCCGCCGGCCATAAACCTAATGTAATCCTCCCTGTGGGTCAGTTTTGCTAATAACCAGACCCTTATGCACACAGTGTACGCCACTGTAGGTCTCCATGCTGAATCAATACGGCATTAAAGTCTAGCCTCTGAATACAGACTCAATTTTCTCTCTCCCAGGTCAAAGACAAAGCCTGGTGAAATAGCAACTATCCTAAGTCTTACACCATCTTACACCTAGCATTGCTAGTGGTACCATGGCTAGGTGTTGCGTAGTGCTGGGAGAGCCCACCACAGCCCACGCTTGTGCACTTAGAATGGGGCTGGAGATCCCTGTATAGCTGTTTGTTGCTTGTCCCTTAGGAGGTTGCTGCAGAAAATCATCAGACACGTATCATGAAGTCAGACCCTGGTCTGCAGGGTTCAGTTAATCCCCAGTGAGCCAGCACCATACAGACCGTGCGTCACCCCAACCAGGAGCTCTAACACCTGGTTCCATGTGAACTGAGTTGCATAACAGCACAGCTAACATAAAAGGCTTTGTTCTTAAGAGCTCATGACAAGGGTATGCTTTATACATGAGATCTTCTCAGCCCTATGTAATGTGATATTATGCACTTTATAACAACCTGTACCATTAGGGCCCAGTGCAAGCCTCTGAGAAAAAATTTGCCTGCTCATTTGTTGTATTTGAAGTTCCCAGGAAGAAAAAAAGATGAATGAAAACACATAAGAAAATTCCTTTTAAAAAAGCACTTTATTTTTAGTGAAATTATAGTGTTAGGTGTGCCAAAATAAGTTCTGTAATACCTGGTGAGACAGATACAGTATTTAGGAATTTTTTTTAAACAGCTACGAACCAGTTTGCAATAGCTGTTTCTGGGAAGTTTATTTTGTTTTTGTTTTTTCTTCCTGGATGATTTGACTGTACTTGATTTGTATGATTTGTGCAATAAGTTCCTGTAACATGTAAAATGAGAGTAGTTAATTTCAGGCAGATATAAAGGCAATAAAATAATTGACTAAATACATTCCTGAAAAAGATGCAAAAAAAAAAAATAAATAAAATAAAAAAATAAAAAATCAGTAAGTAGTTGTGCAGGTGTCGTAACAACAACATAGATTTTCCCACACAGGAATAATTATGAAAAATTCTGTGTTTTAAAAAATATTTCCTCAGCTCATGATTTGAGCATGGCAAGCCATCAGTTGTGAGACAAAATATTGGACTTACTTGGGAATTACAAGGCAGTTTGATTTTCTTGTAGTTTTGTGATGGTGGAAATGCATACTTCTTAGAAAGCCATTTTTGCTTTTTATAACTCATTAAATGATCAGAACCAAGGTTACTTAAACCTGAAATTCTGATGAAAGGACAGCAGCCAAGTTAATGGTTTTTGTTTGTTTGCTTGTTTTTTGTGCTCAGAAATGTAAAATGGAGGCGTGTTCTGAATTAAAACTGCAAATCCAGGGGACTCCAAGATTATAGGAGAGATTAAAAAATTGAATCAAGCAACATTGTATAATATTCAGTCAGAAGATCACTGCACTTCTGAGGAACTGTAAAAGAAGGTAGAGTAAAGGTATTTGATTTACTGGGAAAAAATGTGGGTGGATATTTTATCATACCTTACCTCTTGTCTTTTCTGTTAAAATATTTTTCTTTTTGTTATTAAAAAAAGAAAAATTCAGCTAGTATTTGTGAACTTCTAAAAGATGCTTATTCACTGTATTTAAAAACAATACATGAAATGTAAAAAATACATACGTTTTTCTACTTTAGAACATGCAGATGCTATAAAATCCATACTTTTAATCACGTAAATTTCTAACAAATTTGAAGACTTGTAAAGATATTGACTCCTCAGTATCACTTAGCAGCTCTGGAAAGATCTTAATTCAGAATAATTCTGAAGTCTCTTTCTCATAAGTCCATTATTATCTAACTGACACAATGCTGTTTCTTTTTCAGCAGATGGTTCCATTGCACTCAATTTTACAGCTTTCAAAAAACAAATTTCCCGACTTGTTTGAACTAGAAGTTACATATGACACTACAGGACTAAAGCCTACTTCATTTGCTCTCAAGACTGGAATTTTTGTGAAGATATCACTAATTATTTGCACAAGTAAAAAGCCTATTCAGCATGTGAGAAATGTCAATAGCAAATTAATAAAGTGAAACTGTGAAACAAATTACATTTTACCCAGGAGGGCGCTAGTTTCAAACAACTTGAAACATATTCAGTAGGTAAATCTTTTCAGTCTCATCCACCTGATGAAATAGCTCTGGTGCTTTTAAAATGTTTTGCCATATGGCAGTGGACGAAAGACTTTGCATCATCTGTCAGACTGGTTGCCCAAGACATTCTATTATACTGTTGCAGTAGCTGAAGCAAGAAATTCACCAAAGCTTCCTTTCTTCTTGGAGAAGTACTGGCTAGTTTGTACAGAAAAAACAGTGATGGCTCCATGATTCTCTCTCACCATTTTCTGCCTAGAAAGTTGAAAATAATAATAATGAATTAATATTATTGGAGGAACCTGACAGAGGATTAAAAATTGCAATGCAGTATCCCTAACGACTTGGAATAGTTAATTAAGTTATCTTATAAATGAGTTCCAAAAATAACTTACTTTCAGCAAGTTATTCTGAGAAACAGCCACTTTAGCATACCTGAGCTGCAGTGCCTATTAGAAAAGGGCCAATTATCCAGTGACTGGCAGTTAAAGGTGAACTGCTGTAGTTCTTAATTAAAAGGCTCTGTATTATAATCACCAGTAACAGAATTCTATATATAAAGAAGACATAGCATTAGAAGAATATTTCCATTTTAAAATAAGGATTTTGAAAAACTGCTTCCTCTACTCGCCAAGCTAAGCCCCTGTGAGAGCCCTGGAGTAGCCATCTGTGCTATTTATCTTATATTTATTAGAGGTGCTCCCCTATGACCCACCTGCAGCCAGAAGGATTTCCCTCCTGTACCAAGTGGCAGCATTATTACTGCTGCTAATGCCTAAAGTTGTTACTACAGAAATATTATTTTAGATTTTAAGAGAATACATCTCTCTTTCTAAGAGAGGCTAAGGAGTTCTCTGTGGAGATTCTTCAGCTTCTTGCCTGTTACAATTGGAAAGACTAGCACAGTGGCAGGGTAACACAAAAATGTAACAACAAAGTGACCAGTGTAGATAGGATAGTATTTCACAGGAGCATAAGCATGTGCTCACCCATCTCCAAATACCTAGACTTGCAGAAAGGACCCCATCAGCAAGGGATCTCCAACCAGAGATCCTTCCAGAGTGGCAGTCAGCCATTAAATGGGGGTCTAAGAGGTGGAGCCAGGTTCCACCCCTTCCGGTTAAACAGGTGAATTGCCTTCACATGTGCTCCCAGGGCTGACCAAGTCCTTTCCCCAGGTGCTCAATTAGTGGTTCAGGCTGTGATTCAGCAGTTCCAATACACTGCCAATGACAACTTTCCTGAATTTCCACTTACTTTTCCGTTAACAGGATATTATCAACTCTTCTGTGAGATGCACTGAAGTTATTTTTGGGGTAAAAAGATTCTAGAGTGGAAGAATGTGCTGTACTAACGTACTATTAAATGTGTATCTCCTCATCTAAGGACTCAGGATCACTCTGTCTTCGTTTCAAGTTCAGCAAATATAAATTACTTTGCTGAATTGCTACATTCTGTATAATCGTGCTACTAAGGTATTATGCCTGAGATTATGCACCCTACTGAGATTAGTTTGAACACTATATCATACTGTTCACTTCTTTTTAGGCAGTGACTTCAGACATCTATCTCCAGCCATTCACTCAGATCTGGTCTTCACCATCTGCACTGCACATGAACACTGACTTTTATCAGACCTACTGACTTCTTGCTGTTAAGCGCTTTATCTACATCAACGCTACAGCAAAAATACATACAGCTAATCCTATAGTTCCTAATTTTGATAAAGATTGTCCTTTCACAGGATAATTTGACCTATTTTTCTTAACTATGTAATTCAGCAACTTTCCTTCATCCTTTAGCTTTCAAGCAGAGTGGCAGACCTGTATTTATTAACCACTGTAACAGAGAGGGAATTTAGCTTAAGACAGTATTATTCACATTCTTTACTAATAAGTAAAGGTACATATATGATGACACTTTTTTCAAGCTTTTGATAAACTCCTACCTTTTTATTAATCAATCTACCAATCTATAGTGAGTCAAAACAAAAATTAACCTTTTGATGTATTGCTTCATGAAAATGACCATTCTGTTTCAGTTTCCAGAAGAAACCAGACAAGTTAAAATTTGTATTCATCAGAAGCTGAGTAGTTTTTCCCCTTGAGTAGATCTGTTTTCAGTGTTCAAAATTTTTATTTTATTAGTTAAACTACTAACAGTAATTACCACCAAGGGAAACTGTCAAGTGAGACTGGCAAAATCCTCCATTTGCCTTTATTTTTCCTGTTCTTTTTAACCTGTGGGATTTTACTGTTTTTTCTCCTTGAAATGAACTGCTTTAGTACTTTCAATGGGGAAAAAATATCTGATTACCTCTGCCTTTACGAAAAGCCAGTAGAAGTTTGTATTCTGATTTATTTTAATTTCTATTGCGGTGGAAAAGTATTTACAGGTTAAATAATCCTCATTTTCCCACTTGTGGAGAAAAGAAAGAGGATTTTTTAGAAATAAGCATTTCAATTTTAAAATTTGCATAACACTTTAAAATACAAAACAAGTGTGAGAGCTCTTCCAATGTTACATTGTTACAAATGTAGATCAGAGATGAATTTATATGGTGAAGAATTACATGTTCAATTTTCAAAGCAAAGTTTCTGTTATATAAGATGATGTATTTCCAGTGAAGTTTCATTAATTGCCAGTGAAGACTCTGAAAATAGAAATTTTGCAGCATTTCTATGTACTAAAATCTATTATCTCTCATTAACTGTTCTAGAGGATGAGAAGATTGTTTAGATTCAGCAATCCTTGTAACAAGTCTGTCATCCAACAACTTTGACTCTGTAACCACAGGCATTAACTTACTGAGAATTAGCCATATATTTGATAGCTACAAAATACCTTGCAAAAATGTGGTCAGAGTAATAACCCTTGAGAACAGGGAGTAATTAGCTGTCAAGTTAGTGAAATTAAGCTCCAGTATCTTCTCTATCATCACGTGTAGGCAGAAATGACTGGTCTATTTTTAAAAAAGACACAAAAGTTTAAAGAAACAGCTTTAAAGAAAGGAATCAGGAAATTGAACTTGTGTAATGAAATCTAAAACTGAACAGCAGCATCTTATTGTGCTGATAGATAATTTGGGATGATTACTCATTTATTAAATGGTGCTGCAGTTCATCACTGATTAAGAACGTTTGAATAGGCTAAAACTGCTGAAGTTTCAGGAGAATAAGCAAACAGCAGCTTTTTTTGGCTCATTTGTTTTACTACAAAAATTTTCCCATGTCATAAAATATTTATAACATAGCTTTAAGTAATAAAAATAACTATTTTCTTTGTACTCCACTGTTCCTATTGTGTTCAATTGTGCCAGAACAAATAATGTTAACTTAAAAAATCAAAACAGTTTTTAACTGTGATGCATTCAAACTGTTTTTTGTCTTACAGTAAGCGTTTTCTTGGGACAATTGGTCTAACAAGTATGGAGCACTAGTATATCCTAATTAGGAAAACAGCAAGCTTAACTTTGAAAGTTAAAACATTTTATCACTGCAAGGAAAGCAACAAATCAGTTGTAACTTCCAGCATCCAACAGAACTTTATTACATTGTAGCATAAATGACTGACATAATATGCCTCTGATTTTGAGACCTCAAGGAAGGGTGGATTTGACAGTGTCCTTTGAAATAACATTGAAGTGTCAGCTCCCATGCCAACAACATGCTCTAATCAGTACAGTCTTTTTTGTTGCAGGGTCTTCCACCTTGTAATTGACCCTGACATATGCTATTCACTCTACCCCTTGGCTTTGGACATATAATTCCTGTCATGGTCAATTATAAGGTGATAGAGCCTGCAACCACTGGGACCATTGCTTAAAATCATCCTACACAGTAAGCCCTGAAGTGACCAAATTCAAATCTAACTGGAGGGAAAGGGGGGATTCAGTCTTTGATAAAACCAATATTCTTTTTATTTCTGCATAGAAAAATGTCAATTTCCATCATGCTGTATATTACTGAGACAAATGGTGACAGTGCTATTTCTGAAACAGGTTAAGGAAAAGTACAAAAGCCTTTACCAAACAACATACTCTGAAATGAGGAAATTGTCTGTGTGAGCATACAGTATGCATAAAAATTAGATTACACTACATTTGAAAAGCAGATGAGAATTTAAGAGTGACAAGTGGGCAAATGCTAAGTATAAGGGCATGTTACTTCCTTTCCAGCACTTCTTTGTCTGTATGCTTTTATGTTGTTTAAGCTTTGAACTGAAATACTTCCTGATTACCTTATTGATAAGAACTGAATGCGAACAAAAAAGAACTCTCCTCGTTGTCTGATTGGTTCTGTAATGCCTAAGAAATTTGGCAAAAACAAAAATCAGGACACTTGGTCTCTGATCTTTGAGTAAGCAGTGACTTTCACAAACATACAGTTTTACAGTGCATTGTACTCGTACAGAATTTTTACAACTTCAGGAGTAAGAGCTGAGATGAGCAGAAGTTTTAATACCCATCTGCCAAGGTTTGCTGGAAAACGTAGATTGTCAACTGTGGGGTCATTTCACACATTTTCTGGCTTTAGCCACCTATGTAGTTAAGCCAGAGGGACAGCTATCCCTGATTTTTCTTGTGTGGACATTAATTTCTATTTGCAAGCTGCCGTTGCCTATTTTCTGTTTCTTTGTTGTTTTGTTTGTTTGTTTGATGAAAAATGAAGGGAATTTCAATTATTTATAGTGTTTTCAGTCACAAATTATAACCTACAGGAATCTTTCCTGATTTGTTTCGCTACTGACAATTTATTTAACACCTGTACCTAAACCACTCAATTCAAAAATAATCCTAAACAGACCTTTGTGAATGTGCTGATTTTTACAGGTAATACAGTATATAATATTTTGAAAAATGTGTTTTGATGATGTCTTTATTTCCTATCTTAGCCTGACTAGACAAAGCTCTAATTAACATTCATATAATTATCTAAGTCTTTTAAAATCCCATCTGTACAGTTTCTCTTAATGATGTATACAGAGCATAGCAGTCCCAATAAATACCAAGCACATACAGTGCAAGTGCTTTTAATTTAAACCATACTGCTGATTAGTGATGGGGTATTCTGAAACTGTTATGCACATTCTGCATTTCAATTGTCATGGGAACAGAACAGCTCTTCATGCTGAAGTGCACAGTCCTACATATAGCTGGGAGCTGCTATTCTAGCATCTGCTGTGGCTGTGTCTACTATCCAGACAAGTCAACTTTGGAAACTACTGATTTAGCTAATTTTGAAAACAGGTGGGTGATGGAGTGTGTAACTCAGCTCAAATGTTTGCAGGACAGAAATTTACAGTTCTGAATCTATTACTGTATGTAAATACCAAATTTCCTCAACTTCATTATAAGAAAAGGCATCACTCCTAACATATATGTGTTTACCCTGCATATATCACATGACATCCTAAACATTATTTCATATAAGAGATAATTCAGGTTTCAACAGGCTGCAGTCTATGAAGTGTGGAGAATGACTGCTGGCTGTTTTATGGTTTAGAGCATGACTGAATACACTAACAGGGCTCCGTGAAGTA